TGACGATGGTGATGTTGCTGGTGATGGCGATGATGATGATGGTGATGATGATGATGGTGATGATGATGATGCAGATGGCGTTGATGATGCTGATGACGGTGATGGCGAATATGATTGTGATGATAGTGATGGTGACGATGTTGATGATGATGACGATGGTGTTGATGATGGTGTTGATGATTCGCATGGCTGATGATGATGATAATGATGGTGATGGTGATGGTGCTGGTGATGACGAATTTGATGATAATGAAGACGGTGCTGCTGATGATGATGATGATGATAATGATGATGATGATGTTTGTTCGATGATTATGCTAATGATGACGATGATGGTGTTGAGGATGATGATGCTGATGACGGTGTTGATGATGATGAGGAGGTTGTTGATACTGATGCTGATGCGAATGATGATCATAGTATTGATGATGGTGGTGGTGCTAGTGATGACGATGATGATGATGCTAATGATGGTGATGATTATGCTGATATTAATGATGATGCTCGTCATGGTTATGGTGGAGAAGATAGTGTATGATGGTGATGCTGATGCTGGTGATGCTGATGATGATGGCGATGATGCTGATGATGATGCTGATGATGATTGTGGTGCCGATGATCATGCTTCTGCTGCGGTTGCTGATGATGGTCATTTGGCTGAGGTTGGTGATGGAGCTAAGTGAGGAGGCGGACGTTGCAGTTTCTGATAGTGTTGATAAGTGATCACCGGAGGGTGGAATGAGGGTGTGGATGACGACGATGAGGTGAAGAAGGGGAGAAGGGAGGGCAAAGGAGGGAGAGAGAAGATAGAAGCGGGTAAGGGGGGTGAGAGGGGAGGAGAGGGGCGGAGCTGGGAGGAGGTGAAGAGTATCACGGGATGAATATGGAAACGCAGAAGGCGGGGGGGGGTGAGGCAGGAGGGAGGAGGCAGAGAGGGATGAAGCAGGAGGAAGGGGAGGCGAGAGAGCAGAGGCGGCAGCGAGGGTGCGGCGTCGGGGTGGAGAGCTGGCTGCCCCAGGAACCGGAAGCCCTACACCGAGGAGGACCCGCGCCCCCCCCCCCCCCCGGCCTCGGCGCCCCCGCCAGGGCGACGCTCAGAGGGAGGGCTGCGCCCGCAGCAGCCAGGCGAGGAGAAGTCACGAGGCCAACCTACCCGCATCCACGCCCCCGCGGTCTGAGCGCCTGGGCGCGATCCCGCGGATACGCGGTCGCCCGGATGCGCCCCTCGCGGAGCTTCCAGGAACCAAGAGGCCCTTAGCCACGGGGTCGCGACCCAGGGTCCCGGCCCGCCAGGCTGTGGATACGCATCTGCTATTCGCCCCCGAAGGTTTCGTGGACGGGGAGGAGAGGGAGGAGGGGAAGGTGGGGGAGGAAAGGGAGGAGGAGGAGGAGGAGGAGGAGGAGGAGGAGGAGGAGGAGAGGAGGATGATGATGATGATGATGATGATGATGATGATGATGATGATGATGATGATGATGATGAGAGGGGAGGAGGAGGAGGAGGAGGAGGAGGAGGAGGAGGAGGAGGAGGAGGAGGAGGAGGAGGAGGAGGAGGAGGAGGAGGAGGAGGAGGAGGAGGAGGAGGAGGAGGAGGAGGAGGAGGAGGAGGAGGAGGAGGAGGAGGAGGAGGAGGAGGAGGGGGAGGAGGAGGAGGAGGAGGAGGAGGAGGAGGAGGAGGAGGAGGAGGAGGACTGCCAAGTTCTCGGCGTTTTTGTTCCCCCCATTGGGCGTCCTGGGCCGCCCTCGCGGCCTCGGCTGGCCCTCGCCTCGGGCGGCCGGAGTGCACCGGAGGAGAGCCGCGGAGGACACCGGGACCTCCTGGGCGCCGCGGCAGAGTCACGACCCGGGAGGAGGGAGGCGGCCTGGCATCGCTCGGACGTGATTTCCTTCGGCGAGGACCATCGAGGAGCATCCTTGACCATCTGGCGGAAAAAACACGCACGAAACCGAAAAAAGCACAGGGAATGGACGTCCGAGCGATGGCAAGGGAGGGAGGAGGGAGGAGGGAGGGCGCCCTCGAGGGCGCAAAGTCGCTCGAGCTTCGCGCTTCGCCGGTTGGGGCTCCGATTCCTCCTCGTCCTCCTCTTCTGCCCTGGGAGGCGGCGCAAGAGCGCGAAGTTGTTCGCACTTCGCGCTTCGCGCAGCGCGAAGCGCGAAGTTGGGAGCCCTTGAGGAGGGAGGAGGGCGCTCTGTTCGGCTAGACGCAAGAGTGACCTTTCGCCGGAGTGACTTTCAGTGCGGGCACAGATGGGCCCTCAGATGGCTGAAAACGAAGCGGTAGCAGGGGCTTGCGCGCCCAGCTTTGGCCTCCCCGCGGCCCCCAAAGAGCCGCGCACCAAAGGTCACTCTTACCCGGAGGGGTCGACTAGACGTAAGAGTAACCCTTCGCCTGAGTGACTTTTGGTGCGGGCACATTGGGGTTCCCCGATCGCCGAAACCGATGCGCTGGTAGCGTCTTGCGCGCCTTTGTTTTGGTCACCCCGCGGCCCCCCCAAAAGCCGCGCACCAAAGGTCACTCTTACCCAGGGTCACTCTTGCGTGTAGCCTTATGTTGTTCCCATCCTACTTAAGGACCGCATCCCAGAAATGATTTCGAGCGCCCGCAAAAGTGTCGAAAGAGTGCCGAAACAGTGTCAAAAGAATGTCGGGCAATCGTCTCCCAGGGCCCGACACGTGAAATCCCTTGCGTTTTTGGGGTGCTTTCCTGGTGCTCGAAATTCTTTCTGGTGGCCTTAAGGCTAAAGTAGGTTGGAACATCATAAGTGTAGCCGAGAGGGAGGAGGGAGGAGGGCTCTGTGGCGTCACGGTCTCGGCCTCTGGGGGCCATCGAGCCGAGGCGGGCGGTTCCCCGGGACCGCCGCCCGGCGGACCGACCTTCGGGGGCCTCGGGCCAGACGAAAGGGGGGGAATTGGGAAAAGGGGGGTTACGAAATCTGCTGCATGCAGCTGGTTTCGGCCTCACCGAGGAGCCCATGCCTCGATACATAGCCGCCTCCGGCGCTGGGAGGCGCCGGGAAGATCAGCTGCGTGAGCTGATTCTCAAGCCCCCCCTTTGCTATCCCCCCCTTTCGCCCGACCCGAGTGGTTGTACCCAAGGTTGCCCCGATGGTAGATGGATTGAGTAGTATTGGGGTCGGCAGATAAATAAGTATGCTGAGTGGTGGGTCGATAGATCGGCATCTATATTTCTATAAACAAATATATGTTATGTCGGAGGTTGGGGGGTGAGATCGAAGTGGAACGGAGAGCCACCCTACCAGGAAATCGATTTCGGTTTCGTGCTCGTGCCGTGCGTGCGGGCGAGGCGAAGCTGCGTGGGCGGGCGAGAGGAAAGTCTCCTGTGGCTGGGCCGCGGCTGGACCAAAAGGTTCTCCGCCCGGCAACCGGTGGCGCGCGGTGTCCCGCCGGTGTCCCGCCGGTGTCCCACCGGTGTCCCGCCGGTGTCCCGTCGTTGTCCCGTGGTGTCCCGTGGTGAGATCGACAATGAGATCGATAGTGAGATCGATAGTGAGATCGATAATGAGACCGATAGTGAGATCGATAATGAGATCTATAGTGAGAGATCGATAGTAAGATCTATAGTGAGAGATCGATCGTGATATCCGTGATATCGATGGTGAGATCGATCGTGAGATCGATAGTGAGATCGATCGAGTGGGATCGATAGCGAGATCGATAGTGGAATCGATAATGAGATGAAGAGTGAGATCGAAAGCGAGATCGATAGTGAGATCGATAGCGAGATCGATAGTGGGATCGATAGTGGGATGGATAGTGAGATCGACAGTGAGATCGATTGTGTCCCGTCGGTGTCCCATCAGTGTCCCGTCGGTGTCCCGTGGTTTCACGTGCTGAGATCGATAGTGATATCGATAATGATCGGATGTTGGGGGGTGAGATCGAAGTGGAACGGAGAGCCCCCCACTGGGAAATCGGTTTCGGTTTCGTGTTCATGCGTGCCGTGCGTTCGAGCGAGGCGAAGCTGCGTGGGCGGGCGAGAGGAAAGTCTCCTGTGGCTGAGGCGCGGCCGGACCAAATGATTCTCCCTCTGGCATGCGGTGGCGCGCGGTGTCCCGCCGCGGACCCGGCCAGACCAAAAGGTTCTCCGCCCAGCAAGCGATGGTGCGCGGTGTCCCGCCGGTGTCCCGCCGGTGTCCCGCTGGTGCGAAAACGATAGTGAGACCGATGACGATAGTGAGATCGATAGTGAGACCGATAGTGAGATCGATCGTGAGATCGATAGTGAGATCGATAGTGAGATGAATAGTGCGCCATCCCCGAAAGGCTCTCAAGAGGCACCCAAGAGTCTCCCAAGAGCCCCCCAAGAGGCCTCCAAGACCCCTCAAAAGGTCCAAAAGACGCGCCCAAACGGCCCCCCAAGCCCTTGCAAAATTAACTAAATAAATTATTATTTCGTTGGTTCCCGGGGGGGGAGACTGATACCAAGGCGCCCAAGAGCGAAGGATGACGTAAACAATTCGACACCAAGGCTCCCAAGTGCGAGCGGCAACGCAACAATCACCACTGTTGCACATTGCTGGCCCCCCTCCCCCCCCCAACCTCCTTATCACCCGCAGGGTGGTCGTATAGGTGTGTATATATATACATATATATACATATGTGCATATGTGTATGTATTGTATATGTCGGCCGCCCAGGTCGATAGACAAATAGTGGTTTCAATCGAGACAATGCGAGATCGAGCGATGACATATCAGTAGACCGGTCGATATATCGTGAGATCGATCGGTTGGTACAACAGCAGAGGTTGTTCGATGGATGGAGACGGTTGTCCCGATGGTTGTCGCGTCGGTGTTTCCCCCCCAACCTCCATGTCGGCCTTCGGCGGTTCTTATGGCAGTGACTATGGAGGACGATGGTCATGGACAGTGACAGTGGTTATGGAAGACTCCACAAGCAGATCGGAACAGAGTACCAAAGACGCGTCTCCCTCGGTGATTTTATACGCAGACGATGCGCTACTGGGGGGCAAGTGCCAACACAGGTTGCAACATCTGCTGGGCGCCATGGTCGGCATTGAATTGCACTAGGACGCACTCCAGCTTACGCAGGTCAACTGCGACGTACATCGACTTACCCGTGCGGGAAACATAATACCTCTCGAAAAGTGAAATTGGTTTACTTGGGCGCCACTCTGAACAGCAATGGGCAATAGCATCGGAACTCAATAATTACCCTGTGACGTACCCAACCCATTTGTATCAATGGAAACGAGGAGGTGGCCGAAACTTGCATGGACAATCAACTTGATGTGTAAGCTACTTGGGGCACGCGCCTATGGCATGATGCGCAGGAGAACCATACAAGAACGAGGGGCGACAGCTACAGGCTCGAAACAGATGGCATGGGGAGTCGGGAACACAGAGCAGGAGAAAAACGTGCAGAGGGAAGGTGACTGCAGGAGGAGAACAAGGACGAAAACGGCGTCCAATTTGAGTCTGCGGTGGGTATCCATTGTGCTGTGCCGCTCAGCAGCCCTCGAAAGCGGCGACAGTTTCACAGATCGCAGGCCCCCAGGGATGGCGATGTCTAATTTGAGTCTGCGGTGGGTACCCACTGTGCTGGAACCCTCAGCAGGCTTCGAAAGTGGCGACAGTTTCACAGATCGCAGCCCCCCAGGGATGGCGAGGTCTAATTCGAGTCTGCGGTGGGTACCCACTGCGCTGGGCCCCCCAGCAGGCCTCGAAAGTGGCGACAGTTTCACAGGTCGCAGCCCCCCAGGGACGGCTAGGTCTAATTTGAATCTGCGGTGGGTACCCACTGTGCTGGGCCCCCCAGCAGGCCTCGAAAGTGGCGACGGCTTCACAGATCGCAGCCCCCCAGGGATGGCGAGGTCTAATTTGAGTCTGCGGTGGGTACCCACTGTGCTGGGCCCCCCCAGCAGGCCTCGAAAGCGGCGACAGTTTCACAGATCGCAGCCCCCCAGGGATGGCGAGGTCTAATTTGAGTCTTCGGTGGGTACCCACTGTGCTGGGCCCCTCAGCAGGCCTCGAAAGTGGCGACGGTTTCACAGATCGCAGCCCCCCAGGGATGGCGAGGTCTAATTTGAGTCTGCGGTGGGTACCCACTGTGCTGGGCCCCTCAGCAGGCCTCGAACGTGGCGACAGTTTCACAGATCGCAGCCCCCCAGGGATGGCGATGTCTAATTTGAGTCCGCGGTGGGTACCCACTGTGCTGGGCCCCTCAGCAGGCCTCGAAAGTGGCGACAGTTCACAGATCGCAGCCCCCCAGGGATGGCGAGTCTAATTTGAGTCTGCGGTGGGTACCCACTGTGCTGGGCCCCCCAGCAGGCCTCGAAAGTGGCGACAGTTTCACAGATCGCAGCCCCCCAGGGATGGCGAGGTCTAATTTGAGTCTGCGGTGGTACCCACTGTGCTGGGCCCCTCAGCAGGCCTCGAAAGTGGCGACAGTTTCACAGATCGCAGCCCCCCAGGGATGGCGAGGTCTAATTTGAGTCTGCGGTGTGTACCCACTGTGCTGGGCCCCCCAGCAGGCCTCGAAAGTGGCGACAGTTTCACAGATCGCAGCCCCCCAGGGATGGCGAGGTCTATTTGAGTCTGCGGTGGGTACCCACTGTGCTGGGCCCCCCAGCAGGCCTCGAAAGTGGCGACAGTTTCACAGATCGCAGCCCCCCAGGGATGGCGAGGTCTAATTTGAGTCTGCGGTGGGTACCCACTGTGTTGGGCCCCCCCCCCCAGCAGGCCTCGAAAGTTGCGACAGTTTCACAGATCGCAGCCCGCCAAAGGCAGGATGGCGAGGTCAAAAGCAGGGGGGAGGAGAGGAACGGGAGGGGGTGGGAAGGAGACGGTGGGAAGGAGACGCGGTGGAAAGGAGACGCGCGAGCAGTGCTCCATTCAAAACGAGAACCCAACGCAGGAGGGTTGAGAAAAAACTTTGGGCCGTTGGGCGGGGGAATTCTCCAGATACTCGCGCACATGGATATATACGTCAACCGCGGCAAACCGGAAATTGCACTTCTTCCAAATTCTGATAACAGTAAAGATCATGTGTTCCTTGAATTCTGCCCGGGTGAACGAGGCTGAAAGATGCAGCAGGGATCGTTTTCCAAGTTCGGTGCCCAATGAAGATTATGAATATACCACGCTGGAATTGGTCGCGGGTGTCAAACCAGACTGTATTGGAAAAGGCGGAACAAGTACTTCACACCACCCAGTGACTACGGCATCAAGTTCACCGTCTGGGAAAAATTGGGAGACCATGCGATGAGGACGTCATGAGGACAATCACTTTCGTGCCTGGAACGGCTCAATCAGCCAGCGCCAAAGTACGCAGGACATTTGGAAGACCCAGGAACGGATGAGCAAAGTGCCCATGTGATCGAGTTCGTGCCAGCTTCAATATACGTAGAAGGGGACCTTTTTGGAATGTCGGCGCGACCCTTCAAAACTGAATGATGTTACGTTGTGTTGTAGAAGGACATGCGACGTGATGACATATCGCTTTTCTTCTGCGAGAAAGAGAGGGGGGCATGAGCCAAACACCAATGGTATCCGGCACACAGGTAAAACAGTACGACGCTATTGGGCAAACCGAACACGTTTGAGCTAAACATCGCTGGTATTCAGGAGACATGTAAACCAGTCCAGAGCGTATTGGGCAAGCCGAGCTGCACCCCTTCTCGTGACGTTGCCCATAGTTTGCGCCGAAGCCTCAATTTTGCATGTGGGCTCGACAAGATGGGAAGACAATTCAATGTAGATTCACACCGTATGGACGGCGTTGTTGCTCATACGGTCGTCCAGAGGTACGTGTGCACAGTACGCCTGTTTGAAACACGTGATGTTGCCCAACCCGCTCTCTCCCGTTCCGTCCTTTTCCAGCCGCACGCGTTGTTAAGAAAGAGTCAGATGGTGCGCCCTTGCTCCCGCAAAGCGGAGAGTAAAGGCTGGGATTGTCTCTTTTCGCCCGCGCGTTTTGGCGTATGTCTTGACTAACTGCCAACTTCCAGATCGGCTTCTGGCCGGTCTTATAGGTATGGATAGAGTCGGACTTTGGGGAGGACACGTGTATCCATACCTACCGCTTGCCGAGGTCCCTGTCGATCGATCCCACAGGCGGTGGATACGGTGAATCCTCGCCTCGCAATCGAAGGTCGCGGCGAAACAGGGGCCTTGGGAACAGGGTCGGGAGCTTCACGTGCCAGTGAAAGGTCTCTGCGCTGGGCGTCTGGGGTGGGCTGTACGGGAAGAGTGAGGGAGCGAGGGCGGGAGAGGAGGGGGAGGATGAGAAAGATGACGATGGCATGGTGCAGACCCCCAGAGTTTTCGATGATCCTCATGACCTATGTTGGCGCACTCTGCGTTTACACCGACCGGCTCCACTGGTAACACGCGGCCTGTGCCAGCCTACATGACATTGGTTACGTTATAGTGGAGGTTTCTGGTAGTCCAGCACACACTGTCACTAATACACGGTCTGACGATCCTCGAAGATTTTTGGAGGCTTCTGCAGGCACAAGAGTGAGCGCACCAGGGGCTCAAAACTCGAAACCCGATAAAATAGACCAGATCCTCATCCTCGAACCTCGGTCGCGACGGGAGGGAATTCGATCGAGCCTTCCGAGCAGGTCTCCGTTTAGATCCGCTTGCGTTTTTGCGACAGGCCGCAGCGGAAGGGGAACGAGGGATATGAAGCACACGGGGAGGAGAAGGAAGGGGACGAAGAGAATGAGGAATGAGGAGCGAAGCCAGAACAGGAAGGAGATAAGGAGGAAGAGAAAGATGATGATGATGATGATGATGATGATGATGATGATGATGATGATGATGATGATGATGATGATGATGCTGCTGATGCTGATGATGATGATGCTGATGATGATGATGCTGCTGATGCTGATGCTGATGCTGATGCTGATGCTGGTGCTGGTGCTGGTGCTGGTGCTGATGCTGATGCTGATGCTGATGCTGATGCTGATGTTGATGATGATGATGATGATGATGATGATGATGCTATGTGATGATGATGATGATGATGATGCTGATGCTGATGTGATGAATGAGGATGCTGCTGTGATGATGATAATGCTGATGATGATGATGATGGTGGTGATGATGATGGTGACGATGATGCTGATGATGATGACAATCATGATGATGATGATGATGATGATGACGATGATGATGATGATGATCATGCTGATGATGCTGATGATGATGATGCTGACGATGATGACGATGCTGCTGCTGCTGCTGCTGCTGCTGATGATGATGATGATGATGATGATGATGATGATGATGATGATGGTGGTGGTGGTGGTGGTGGTGGTGGTGGTGGTGGTGATGATGGTGGTGATGATGATGATGACGATGACGATAATGATGATGAGAAGGAGGAGGAGGACGAGGAGAAGGAGGAGGAGGAGGAGGAGGAGGAGGAGGAGGAGGAGGAGGAGGAGGAGGAGGAGGAGGGGGGGGTGAGGAACGATGAGCTTAGCGCGTCGCGAGGCCAGTTCTGGCCCACCACGCTTCGGCGCGACACGCTAACCACGTCCCAGCCCCAGCGTCAACCCCTGAAGCGTTCCCATCCTCCTGTCCCGCGGGACGGAGCGACGCGATATTAACTTGCAGGGCATGCGTGCTGCAGGGGCCGCCGCCGCGAGACGCTAAGCAACAAGTCCTGACCTCAATCGGTGAAGGCGAGCCCCAAGACATCTTGGCGAACGGACCTGATCGAGCCGTTCCTTCCCATCCGCCGCCTCCTCCGCCCATTCCGCTCACCCTCTTATCCGCTGCGCCTCTAGCCCCTGTCTCCCCATCCTCCGCCTGCCCATCCCTCCAGGGTTTTCTTCCTACTCCCCTGGCCTCATCCCTTACTTAATGCCTCCTCCCAGCTTCCCCTCCCTCTTCTATTTCTCACTTCATGCTTCTGCTGATTCATCCTCCCCGCCTTACTCTCCTTCTTCATCTCCCTCTCTTCCTCGCCCCTCCTTCCCAAGCCCGATCCTCCGCGTCTTCTCTTTCCTCCCGCAGGAGTGGGACAAGTGGGCGGCCGAAAAGATGGCAGAGGACCGTCTGGCATGCGGTGCTTTCCAGTTGGTCAGACGCCAGGCGAAGGCTGGCAAACCCGTGGTTGCTAAAACGGAGCTCCAGGAAGTTGCGTTTCCTTCCAGGAAGCAGCCTGCTTACTATTTAGCGCGCTGAGTTTCATCCGCAAGGGCTTCGCCCCATGCCGCCGGCCCCCTGTCTCGGATAATGGGGGATGCAAAAGCTAAATCATGAGGTCTGGGCGCCGCCGTGAAGCAGTGTCGGACCTGTTTGTTTTTCGACCCTGACCCTACGGATCTGCGTCACGGGTGCCACCGAATTTCAGAAATGTGGCAAATCCTTGCTTGGTGTTTTTGGACCCTGACCCTACGGATCTGCACGATGGGGTGCCGCCGAATTTCAGAAATGTGGCAAATCCCTTGTGTTTTTGGACCCTAACCCCGCCGATCTGCGTGAGGGGTGCCACCGAATTTCAGAAATGCAGCAAATCCTTTGTGTTTTTGGACCCTGACCCCGCCGATCTGCATGAGGGGTGCTGCCGAATTTCAGAAATGTGGCGAATCCCTTTATTTTGCACCCTGACCCCGCCCCGCCGATCTGCGTGAGGGGTGCTATCGAATTTCAGAAATGTCGGAAATTCCTTGTGTTTTTGCACCGTGACCCCGCCGATTTGCATGAGTGGTGCCACTGAATGTCAGAAATGTGGCAAATCTTTTGTGTTTTTGGACCCGGACCCCGCCGATCTGCGTGAGGGGTTGCCAGCAAATTTCAGAAATGTGGCAAATCCTTTGTGTTTTGGGACCGTGACCCCGCCGATCTGCGTGAGGGGTGCCACCGAATTTCAGAAATGCAGCAAATCCTTTGTGTTTTTGGACCCTGACCCCGCCGATCTGCGTGAGCGGTGTTAATTTTTACACCCCGAGAAATTTTGAGAACCCTCCCAGGGCGTGGTAAAAATGCCCGTTTGGGGCCTCCCCTCCTCGCGCGGTCCATCAACAGGGAACAGGAAGCAGCACGACGCATAATTGTAACAAGGAACAGTAAGCAGCAAGAAGCAGAATTGTAACAGTGGCAACTGGAAGCTGCAACTGGTGCAGGAAACTGCTCAGCTTAGCCCCACAGCCTGGTGGCCCCACAAGGGGGAAGGCGGATTCCCGGAATTTGTTTTGTTCTTCCAGGGATACCGTTTTAGCAGCCACGGATTTGCCAGCCCTCGCCCAGTTTCCGAGCTGAGGCGGTGAGGCATGAGCTGGCAGGAGGGGTCGGAGGAAGAGGATGAGCAGGAGCAGGTGTTGGGGCACGGGCGTCACGCCACGCGCGCGCGCGTGGCGCGCGGCCGGGCGCAGCCCGCGTTCTGGTATACAGGGTGAGTTGGCATGTATTTCTTATGTTCCAGGTTCATAACACACGGTCGGCTGTTCCTGATGTGCAGCAAAACCCATAACAGGTGTTCAGAAACATGTGGAAGCCGTGGGCCTTCACCTTGGGGCTGATGCTTCGGCCTGGGCGGCACAGCGCTGTTTAGTGCAGCATCGGCCTGCACTCCTTTGCCCAGCTGCTTAGTGCAGTGGACCTGCTCCGCTATTTCATTTCAGTTGGCTCGCGATGCGACCGGCACCCGTGCGCTTTAACGAAGCCAGCATGGATACATGCACATGCTAATACTGAAACAACATCTTGGAAATTGGTAACCATATGCACTTTTAGACCACGGCCCGTTTGAAGTTACGGGGGGGGGGGCAGTGCTGCCTGGGCCGCGATGGTTCTGCAACTCGCAAGGGGTCCGCACTGCAACGCAAACGATATTTGGCGAGTCGCTGAAGATTCTGTCTCCCACGCTGCAGCTCTTGTCCAGATAAAGAGGCTCCGCGCTCCCAGGGCCGCGATCCTCTTGCACGCGTGGAGTGCCTGGAGCTTCTCGGGGCCCGCTGGCGCCCGCAGCAGCTGCTTGACGCATCCCGAGGCCGCGGAGGGCCGCTTCGGTACCTCCTGGGGCGTCCCGTGCGAGCCCCGGCGCCTCCAGGAGCGCCCGGCGGCCTGATCGGAGCTCCCTGGCTTAAGTCGGGCCTGTCCCCCTTACAGGGGGATTTTCGACGAAAAATAGAAAATACCCCAAGAAAAGTCAAAAAATAATGGAAAAATAGTCTGGGGACTATTTTTGAGTATTTTTTTACCTTCTTGGGGTATTTTGGGTCTTTTTATTTTTCGTCGAAAATCCCCCTGTAGGGGGACACACCCGACATAATCCTTCTTCCTGGGCCTCTTGGGCCCATGGTGGGGAAGGGTCCGCGCGGCCGGTGCCACGAGCCCTTCTTCTGGACCTGCACGGCGTCGGTGCCCCCCCAGCCGCGATCTTGCAGGAATCGGAGGGTGAATTACCTACCCCGCTTTCGCTTCCAGGCAAAGCCAAGTCATACCACGCGCCTCCTCGTCAAGCGGCCTGACCAGTACAGACCGTAGTTCGGCATCGTTTGGTATCTCTTGGAAGCGAGGGTGGTCAAAAGCGAGGTAGGTTTGTTTTCCCCCTAAGGAAGGCTGGGGGAACCGCGCTCCCAGGGGCCCACTCCCGGTGCAGAGTGCAAAGGGTCTTCGCTCCGAGGGCCAGGGCCCAACTGCCAACTACGAGGGGTTCCTATAGGGGCTCGCCTCGGAGGCTCGAATGCAGGTGGCAACCCGTTGTCTTGTTGCTCCCATCGCACTGAAGTCGGGGGCGGAAAAGAGGGGGGTGATGACTAGGGGGGGTGGATATCATGGCGTGGGCCATGATATTTCCCCAGATTTCATGGCGCCTCTTCTTATTTCATTACGTCCCTGGCCCCCCCGCAAGGCCGCGCACATGCCGCCGGTCATGATTTGCGCCCCCCCCTCTTTGACGCCCCCCTCTTTGCCGCTCCCGAGTGTTGCTCCCATCGCACTTCAGGACCACATCCCAGAAATAATGTCGAGCAGCCAGACAAGTATCGAAACGGTGTCGAACGAGCATCTCGCCTCCCGGAGACGGACACGTGAAGTCCCTCAAGGTTCGGGTACTGTCTTGGTGCTCGAAGCTCTTGCCTGCGAGCAAAGCGAAAGTCGGCTGGAGCATCCAAGCCGTTGTCCCTGAACAAGCACAAGCGGGGTGGGGTCCCCGACCTCCCAAGGGTGGGGCTGCTCCCCGAGCGTGCACTCGCACCTGCATGGCCTCAGCGATGCCATCCTCCAGGGCTTCAGTCCTACTCTGTTCCTCTCAGGCTAACTTAGGAACAGCATCTGCATCCCCACCCACCCTTCGTATACTCTCCTTGGCGCCCCGATTGCAATCAGGAGCGGGACGTCACCTCTGGACCCAGCAGAAGCAATGCAACATCAATGAGCGACGCCGCCGTGCTGTCACCGTGCAAAATGCGTGGCACAATCCCGCAGACCGAGAACGTTGAGTTATGAGCGAATGTGCACGGCAACAGTCATGGTTGCCGGGTTGTGGGGCTTCTTCTACTGCGGGAACGCTGTCGCGCGCGGGAGACCCACCGTCGGGAAGTGCATTGCTCACGTCTTGATGCTGGGCCGTGCAGCCTGCTGGCCCCCGCAAGTGGGCCAGTGCCTCGTCTCTTCCCCTCCTCGTGGACCCTCCACTCGCAGTGTGCGTGCACCAGGAGACTTGGCATCGCTCGGACGCGTGCACTGTTTCGGCCAGGACCATCGAGGAGCATATTTCCTCTACATGCTTTTGTGTACCACACCCTCCCAGCCCCAGTCAGACTCCACCGCCCGGGGCGACGTTCACAGTACGGTAGGTTAGTGTCTTGTCGACCGGCGGCGACCCCGCCAGCGGCGTTCAACCTTGAACGCCGCGGGCGACCCAGAATCGTTCGATGTGGAACGATTTGGACGTTTCGGAAACGGCCGATCGTTCGAGGTTGAACGATCCCCGCGGTGTCAGAAACCAACGCTGGGGTCGACACGACGCGAACCTGCCGTATACAGAATCCACGCCCAGGAAGGGAATTTTGTATACCAGACCCGCGACCAGGACCCTCGCTCACGCCCAGGGCTTTTGGGTAGAGTGTGCAATGATTCCGGGCGGAACCTTGGATCACCGTGCGACAGAAAGAAGAAGAAACACACGCGACGCCGAAAGATACACGAGGTATACAATGATTTCGGGCGGAATCTTGGATCACCGTGCGAAAGAAAGAAGAGGAACACACACGACGCCGAAAGATACACGAGGAGTGGACGTCCGAGCGATGGCAAGGAGACAGGTCTGCGTGCGCAGGGCAGAGCGCGGCGCCAGGGCCGCCCCCGCACCACGCTGAGCAAACGTTCCTGACCATATCCCGACTCTCCTCCCCCTCGAGGGCCCGTCCTGAGGCTAGTCTGCGGACCAGTGGAAGGCGGACGGGAGCGATATCCCCTCCCCCTCGAGGACCCTTCCTAGGGCTGGACTGCAGACCAGTGGGAGGCGGACGTGAACAATATCCCCTTCCCTTCGAGGACCCTTCCTAGGGCTGGTCTGCAGACCAGAGGGAGACGCATTGGCATGATATCCCATCCCCCTCGAGGGCCCTTTATCGGGCTAGCCTTGGGGAACAAAAAGTGACATAAACATAAAAACTCGGAGGTCCGCGCGGGTTTCTCGGATCGGCGCTGGACCCCCCCTCCCTGGCGCGCGGAGCGCGCCAGGGGCGGCGCCGGAGGCGCCGCCAGGGGGCCACAGCGCAGATCCGAGAAATCCGCGCGGACTGGTCTGAAGACCAGAAGGAGACGCACGGAAATGAGATCCCCTCCCCCGGAGGACCCCTCCTCAGGCTGGTCCGCGGACCAGTGGAAGGCGCACGGGAAGAAGCAGGAGGAGGAGCGCCCCCACCGCGCGCGTTGCGCGCGCCATAAGGTCGGGCTGCTGACAGAAGGAACGCTAAACAAGGAACGAAGCTCCTTATTGGTCCTGTAAGCGCCCCCGTGCCCCAGGAGGGCAGGAGGAACAGCACTGGAGGAACCTAAGGACCATCGAGCCCCTTACGAAGCCAAACTGTTCTTCAGTTCAGCGCCTTGCAGGAGGGGAAAAAACACACAGACACAATGAATCGTCGATTCCCCAGAAAATATGGAAAAATATGGGTAGTAGGGGGGAAGACGAAAACCCCAAAAATATGGGAAAATATGGGGGATATGTTTATTTGTGTGTATTCATTTGTGTGTCCTGGGGCCCCTTTAGCTTTGACTGTACGGAGCCCGGCAGCAGGACGGGCGCGCTCGGTCGGGGACGCACTGACCCGGGTCAATCCAACTCTGGGTCGGTCGGGCTTTGCAGGATTTTGCAAGATCCTGCAGGATCATGCGCGCAGACCCGGGTCAGCGCACCCCTGGCCCTGCAAGATCTTGCAAGATCCGGCGCTCTGACCGATCCCCGTTGGCATCGACCCCCGTCCCTTGAGCCCCCGACTCGGCCAGCCGTCGGGCGGGGCTGAGGCTGGGATGAGCCGCTCCAGAGCGTTCGGAACGCTTGCAGAGCGTTCAGGAGCGGTTTGGAACGGCCGCGGCGCCCCACACATCTTTCAGGTGATGATGATGGTGGTGATGATGATGATGATGATGCTGATGCTGATGATGCTGATGATAATGATGGTGGTGATGATTACGGTGGTGATGATGATGATAATATGATGACGATGATGTTGTTGATGATGATAGTGAAAGTGATGATCATGAGGATGAGGATGAGGATGAGGATGATGATGAGGATGAGGATGACGATGACGATGACGATAATGATGATGAGAAGGATGATGATGATGATGATGATGATGCCGATGGTGCTGATGATGATGATGAAAATTATGATAATATTGATGATGCTGATGATGATGATGACGGTGATGATGATAATGATAATGGTGACGGTGATCATGATGATGATGGTGATCATGATGATGATCATGATCATGCTGATTATGATGATTGACATGATGACGAGGAGGATGGTTGTGATGGTAATGATGATGGTGATTGTGATGGTGACGATGACGATTGCGGTGATGCTGATGATGATCATCATCACCATCATCATCCGTATCATCATCCGAATAATCATCATGATGATCATGCTGACGATGAGAAGAAGGAGGAGGAGGATGAGGATAAAGGGTCGGAAGGGGGACGAGGCGCAAAGGGCCGCTGTGGAGTGTGGAGTGAGAAGAGTAGTAGTAGTAGTAGTAGTAGTAGTAGTAGTAGTAGTAGTAGTAGTAGTAGTAGTAGTAGTAGTAGTAGTAGTAGGAGTAGTAGTAGTAGTAGCAGCAGTAGTAGTAGTAGTAGTAGTAGTAGTAGTAGTAGTAGTAGTAGTAGTAGTAGGAGTAGTAGGAGTAGTAGTGTTGTAGTAGTAGTAGTAGTAGTACTACTACTGTAGTAGTAGTAGTAGTAGTAGTAGTAGTTTGTAGTAGTAGTAGTAGTAGTAGTAGTAGTAGTAGTAGTCGTAGTAGTCGTAGTAGTCGTAGTAGTAGTAGTAGTAGTAGTAGTAGCAGCAGTAGTAGTAGTAGTAGTAGCAGCAGCAGCAGCAGCAGTAGTAGTAGTAGTAGTAGGAGGAGGAGGAGGAGGAGGAGGAAAGAGGAGGAGGAGGAGGAGGACGAGGAGGAGTATGAGGAGGGCCAGTGTAAACCCATGGTGCATCAACGATGTTGCACTACATCCTCCCTCCATGCTCCCTGTTCATAGGCCCCTACAAGGACTCATGCCCACTGAGGGAAGTGTCCCGTTGGAAGACAGCTGGGTGAACATCCTGAACCGTGCCAGAGCACCATTCTTGGCACTTCAACGCCCCGAATCAACCTGACTGTTGCATGTTGACGATCCTGAACCGTGCCATGACACCATTATTTAATCGCTTCGCTCTTTCCGCCGGCCCATACAGTCTCATGTCTGCCGCTTGCCCGAGGGCCTGGTGTCAATGCGGCGCTTTGGGGGTTCCTGGGGCCGCTTGGGGGACTCCTGGGGCGCTCGGGGGGGCATTTGGGGGGCCTCCTGGGGCCGCTTGGGGGACTCTTGGGGGCCTCCTGAGGGCCTCGTGGGGGCCTCTTGGGGCCTCTTAGGGGCCTCTTGGGGCCTCGTAGGGGCTTCTTAGGGCCGAGGGCTCGAAATGTTGTTTCGTGTTCCCTCTCTGGGGCCCCTTTGGGGGCGTTCTTGGGGCCCTCTTGGACCGTCTTGGAGGCTTCTTGGGCCGTCTTCGAGCCCTCTTGGGCCATCTTGGGGCCCTCTTGGGGGCCTCTTGGGCCCTCTTGGGGCGATCTTGGGGGCCTCTTGGGCCGTCTTGGGGCGTCGGGAAGCCGAAAAGGTGGAAGCTCCAAAATCTCTCAAAAACCTATGGAACAACAATGATTTTGCCTCCGGGGGCCCTCTTGGGAGTGCTCTTGGAGGCCTCTTGGGGCGTCTGGGGGCTATCTTGGGCGTCTTGGAGCGATCTTGTGGCATGTCGGACCCCTCGTGTACCATCTTGGGGGCCTCTTGGGGGCCTCTTGGCCTTTCTTGGGGCTCTCGGGGACGTCTCGGAGCCCTGTTGATGCGCTCATGGAGCGCTCCTGGAGCGCTCTGGGGGAGTCTCCCGGGGATCGGTCGGGGATCGCCCGGGGTACTTTTCGTCCGGGGACCCCCAGGGGCCGCCCCGCGCGCGCGAACTAGAGAATTGTTAACCAGTTACCGGAGATCTTAGCACGCCTCTGGCCCGTTGGGCCGGCGAATTGGGACTTCAAGGCGGCTGACCAACATATTTGATGTGCCTTGACAACCCTGAGCCGTTCGTAAACACCGAGGTTGGTACGTTACCTATGGGAATCCGTGAAACGTGTGCGAAGGTGTTGGCCGAGTGTGCTCGGCGCGAAGGCGAGAGTCACATGTTTAAAACGGCCCGCCCTCGATCAGTGAAGCTCTTGCACTTGTTTCAGACGAGCGCTCTCGGCGCTAAGGCGAGAGCTGCATTTTGGAAGCTGCCCGCGCTCCATCCGTGAAACTGTTGCCAGTTTGAAGCGGCAGGGTCACAAGTGGCAAGCGAACCCCAGACGAAACGTCAGGACCGCCCTTACGACTGGCCTCGGGGTGTGACAGGGAGCAAGTATGTACAAGGACAAGGAACGGAGGAGGGGGGGAGAGGAGGAGGAGGAGGAGGAGGAGGAGGAGGAGGAGGAGGAGGAGGAGGAGGAGGAGGAGGAGGAGGAGGGAGGAGGCGGAGGAGGAGGAGGAGGAGGAGGAGGAGGAGGAGGAGGAGGGGAGGAGGAGGAGGAGGAGAGGAGGAGGGGGAGGAGGAGGAGGAGGAGGAGGAGGAGGAGGAGGAGGAGGAGGAGGAGGAGGAGGAGGAGGAGGACATCGGCTCGTGCCAGATCGGATCGGATCGGGGCGAGTTGAGACAGCGGCAGCTCAAAATCGGTCCCTGGACCCCTCCTGGAGTCCAAGCGCAAGAGTTTTCCGAGCAGCGCGCCCCGCCGTGGTGACGTGGGCGGCCCTCGTCGAAAGACGGCCCTCGCTGCCGAAGGGGTCCCCGGGGGCCGCGGACGAGACAAGAGGACCGAGGAGGCGAGCTAGGCCCAGCCGTCATGCCTGGAGAGCCTCCCGGGGAGCCGACGCAGCTGGATCCTCCTCGTCTGTCTTCTGTCCACTCTTCTGTGGATCCTCCTCTTCTGTCGGCGCCCTGCCGATTCGGGCGCACACGGTTGGGCCGGGCCTCTCACAGCTCCTCAGGCAAACGCGCCGCAGGAGATGCAACAACTCAAACAAGGTCCTGCGAGCACTGACGAGCCGGCGGCATCAAAGACCTTTCACACACGGATGCAGTGGGCCGTTCTCTGGCAGAGCAGCCCGAGCTCGGGGTCTTTGGGGCGCTGGGCAGCATCCGAGAGCACCCCTTCTGAAACGGAGGGACAACGTGGAATGGCCAGGCAGCCGACGCGGCCGCGCAGCACGAGTCCCGGGGAGGCAGCTTCGGGGAGCCCCTCCGAGTCCCACCAGCCCCGCTCTCATCAGGACACCCTGGCGCCCGACCCACTGGCCAACCTCTCGACACATCAACTTGAGGCCGCGAATCTGCTCGGCAGCATGCTTCACACATGGGTGCGCCTCCGTCCCCACTGTTCACCTAAACTAAATGAGGTTGGACAAAAAAACGCGACGCCGTTCGCCGTCCTGTCCCACCGAGTGGTCCCCCCCGCCCCAGATCGACCTCGCTCGTGCGAGCGCGGGTCTTATGAGCAGGTAGGCTCTCGTCGAAATCTGCACTTGGATCCAAATGTAGGCATGGGGGGCCGAGAGGCCGTCGCGCGGGGCCGAGACTTGGCGCAGTCAACCGTGGCGGTACAGTCGGTCCAAACCCCCTCGACCCCCAAAGGAATCTGCTCAGGCAAGGTACACGCTTACTCCTCTGCGTCCTTAGCGGTCTGTACAGGAGCGACATCCACTGGCCGGAAGGCCGCCGCCATCATAGCTTCCGAGTCGTCCACGCTGGCCACGGACCAGCCAGCCCGACGCAGCATCGGCTCCGAGGGATGCAACGCCGGTTCGTCGATGAAGCTCTTACCCGAGAGCATGTCATCAGGTGGCCTGCGGACCCCAAACACTTCACACTGAGCGGACAAGGGGGGCGGGGAATCAGCTCTCGCAGGTACGGGGAGACACCACTGGCAAAGAGCTCGCCAGCATGCCAGACCCTGAGCAAGACGAGCGCCCGCGAGCCCCATTATCCGAAAGAAAGTGCCTGCGGTCCTCCTGCCAAGCAGCACGTCCGAGCCGCCGATGGAAGGCCCCATGGTCCCAGGCCCACCAGCGCGCACGCGGCAGTCAGGAGAGGAGGCTACGCCGTGCCGAAATCTGGCCCCTCCTGAGGCCAGCGGGTGCCCGACACCGCGGCCCGCAGCGAGCTTGTCTGCGCCCGATCACCCGAGGCCGTCTTGCGGACCGCAAGGGAATTCCAGAGGCTGCCAGAGCACGGGCCGACACCAGGAACTGGATCCAGCTCGAGCCTCCAGAGAGCGAACATCCAGCACCTCCCTCGCAGCGTTCTCGGCGGGGGCAACAGCAGTGGCGGGTGGCATTCGCAGTAAATCAATCTGCTCACCTGTGGCGAGCATGATCAAACGTGCCGAGTGCGCAGTCCAGCCCAAGTCACCACACGCAGTCGCAAATACGTGCATAGGCGACGTCGCGCGACTCCACGGTGGACTTGTGCTGGCTAGCACACGGACGGTATACTCAAAGGTGGCCTGGAGGATCGATAGTTTGGCGGTTCCACCCCAGAGAGCCCGACACCATTCAACAAACACTTGTTTGAATACAACGGCACAGGATCTAGTCGGGAGCCCAAGTTGAACGAGAGCAACTTGAGATTTACAGAGGCCCCTCTCCTAGGGGAAGGGGGCAACCGAGAGCAAGGCTTGCTGTCTGAGCCTCTTGAGGTGAGACCAGGGGAGATTTCGAATAGCACAGCCTCACGGGGCGCCCGCTTGAGGCCCAGCACGTGGAATGTTCCCCGTGGAGGCCCCCGCGGCGCGCACCTTTCGAAGCCTGCTGAGGCACAGTCCAACCCTCTGAGAGGTAACACTTGGCATCGCTCGGACGTGTGCATTTTTCCTTCGGCGAGGACCATCGGGGAGCATCCTTGACCATTTGGCGAAAAAAACACGCACGAAACCGAAACAAAACACAGGGAATGGACGTCCGAGCGATGGCCAGAACAGGGGTGCTCTTACTGGAGTGGACCTGCCAATCGGTCCCAAGACTCCGCAGCATACCCTTCCGCTTGGAGGCCATTTTCCATATAGCAAGAAGCCCCGCAGCAGCCGAGCGTGACGGGGCCAGACGCTTAACCGTTTTCGGACAACACAAGGCGCAGCTGGCGCAGGCTGTCCACGAGCTTGCTCCTGACGGCCCCGAGCTCCGAGACGACGTGGAAGCTGGACCAGAGCGCCTGCGCCGAGATGTCATCGATGACGTTGCGAAGGCTGACAGAGTGTGGGACGTGGGACGCCGTTAGCGACGTCAGCAATATGTAAACGAGGACGCGCGCCAGGAACGTAGCCAAAGAACATCCTGCCAAAATCGTACCGTCCGTCAGGAGCAGGAGGAGCAGGAGGAGGGGGAGAAGGAGGAGGAGGTGGAGAAGGAGGGGGAGGAGGAGGAGGAGGAGGGGGAGGAGGAGGAGGAGGAGGAGGAGGAGGAGAAGGAGGAGGAGGAGGAGGAGGTGGACGACGACAAGGAGGAGCTGGAGGAGGAGGACGAGGAGGAGGAGGAAAAGGAGGAGGAGGAGCAGGAGGAACAGGAGGATGCGGCGGAGGAGGAGGAGGGGCTAAATTCCTCCCTCTTGCTGCCTGGGGCCGTGCTGGCCGTGAACGCTGGGCTGCCGACGACGCGATGGCGTGTTGTTTCTCGGCGGCGCAGGCCGCCCCTCCGTCTGCACGGCGTGACGTCCGAGTCCCAGGAGGAGTTGTCATCCTGACGCTGCGCCGTCTCGGATGGGAGGCATTGGGCTGGCACCGGTGGCCGCGCTTGGCACGCTCTGCGGGCCAGCTTGCCGCTGTGCGGTGGGCGCAGTGACAAGACTCCGCGTGTTTTGCGCTTGGCCTCCACCGCTGTGGGGTCATAGCGCGGCGCAGGTGCAGGCCAGACAGTGTTCGCTCATGGCCTCACGGGGAATAATTAAGCGCTTGCACCAGTGGCGTATTCGTACTCATCAAGCTGTCGATGTGCTCGAGCTTGAGAGGCGCTCCCTCACCAAATCGATCCAGGAGGGTACTCTTGTCTGCATGGGGCTTCGCGCTGGCAAACAAGCGTTGGGTTCTGAGGGTTCGCTACTGGTCATTCGACCCCTGGTTCCCCTATGTCTCGGAGATTAGACATACAGCAAACGGGGTACATCAACATAAAGCTCGACTTCTCCCTGGCTTTGTAGTTGGAGGCACTCCTGAGAAGCTTACCCTCAATCTCGGCCATCGCGTGATCGATTCTGCGTGTCCACAGTGCAAGGTAGAATTTGAAACCTGCACATCGTTGCCTTCGGTCTGCTGGTGCCCTTCCTATTCGGCAAGTGAACTTGAAGGCACCCTGGCAATTTCAGCCAGACGCCAAACCTGACCACATCGGAAGCTGCTTGGTCCGCATCCCCGAAGTTGGCCGGCGTGTTCCCGTTAAGTCCCCTGGCACCAAATTAGGGAAGTATCTAAAAGACCGAGTTTTCTCCGTGAATTGTCTAGACGGCTCGGCGATCGACCCATACCTTCCATTCACGCGTGTTGGGTCGGTTGCGGTCGGTCTTGCCCCCACGAGCACTTGGAGATCACGGGATCATGCTATGGCCGTCTCCCCCGCCCGGTGCAGGAGCCGGGATGTTGGGAGAGATGCGCCTTCCTCATGGCTTTCCGGCTCGCGGGATCAGGCCCGATCGTCGTGCGCTCCAACTGCCAGGCGGTCCTAGGCTTGCGTGACAAAGGCCCGCGCCAGTTGCTTGACCGCCATGGTTTGTTTCAGTGAGCTGCGGAAGCTCGCCTTCCAGGGAGGCGAGGACGAAGGACGTGAATCCATCGCAATGAGCCCCTCCCCTTCTGCGGCAGAACCATCCAGCAGGGATTCCCCATCGGGGCTCGGATAAAGCGATAGGGAAACGGACAGGTTGGCGGATCTGGGTGCCCGCTGCCACCCCCACAACCCCGCGGCCCGCAAAGCTCTATGTGCCCCCCGGTGACCAGGTCAGGTTGTTAGGACAATTGCAGTCTTCGGATTTGACCTGCTCTCTCGGAAACAACATGTCCCCGACGCTGCTCATGTGACGGCCCCCAAGAGGTCCAAGCCCGTGGGCCTCCAAGCGGTTTCCAACCCCAGCGGTCATGATGTCTGTCGGGTAAGTCCAAGAATCGGTTTTGTTGTGCTGTCTGCGAGGGCACGAATGCCTCTCGGACGGGACTGCGCACGGCGCCGTGCAGCGGAGTTCATGAGTTCGCAAGGCTTGCCCACTGCTTTCACCGGCTGTGGATAGGCGTTGGCGTCATCGTGTGGTGCAGGGGATGCGGGGCCTTGAGATTCTCGTGCTCCAAGCATATCTGATCATTCGGAGAGTCCTAACGGGCCCAGGAACAAATGTGCTGGCCAATCGCTGGCACCTTGAAATGAGGGGGTGAACCCATCCTGCAGGCAATGGTTTGGGAGGATTTTGCCAGTCCCGCCGAGGACGCCTTGGCCAAGGAGAAGGAGGAGGAGGCGGAGGAGGAAGGGAGGAGGATAATGAAAAAATGAAAAAGAGGAGGAGAAGGAGGAGGAGGAGGACAAGGAGGACAAGGAGGACAAGGAGGAAGACGAGGAGGAGGAGGAGCAGGAGGAGGAGCAGGAGGAGCAGGAGAAGGAGGAGCAGGAGGAGGAGGAGGAGGAGGAGGAGGAGGAGGAGGAGGAGGAGGGGGAGCTGGACGAGCCGCGCGACGCGCGGCGCGCGCTGGGCTGCCCTCGCGCGCACGCGCGAACGCGCGCCGAGGTCTCGCCGCGGCGCCATCCGCCGCCACGGCCCACAGCGCGCTGCGCTTGCCCCGCGGGCGGCCGCCGCGCGGCGCAGGGCACGCCGCGTCGGGCCACCAGCGCCGCCGGCGCGTGTCGCTGAGGCCCTTGGCATCGCTCGGGCGCGTGCGTTTCTGCGGGGTCAGCGCTAGAAAATCTGCAACGCCGTTGAGCATCCAGGACCGTTTTGAAAAGAAACAAAAAAAAAAACGCGCGCGACACCGAACATGGACGGGGAATGGACGACCGAGCGATGGCAAGGGCTTCTCTCCTGTTGGGGATTTCGTTCACGCCATCCTCCCCCTCGTCCCTTTCATCCACCCGTCCTCTTCAACGGCGGCAGGTCCAATCAAAAACCCTCCCGTTCCCTCCCTTCCCCTCCTCGAGGGAGAGGGGGAAGCCGCGTCGGGGTTCACGAGCGCGGGTGGAGGGAGGAGGAGGGAGGGTTTTTGATTGGAGGAGGAGGAGGAGGAAGAGGAGGAGGAGGAGGAGGAGGAAGAGGAGGAAGAGAGGAGGAGGAGGAGGAAGAGGGAGGAGGACGAGGATCATGAAAAGGGAGGGGGATGGGAGGAGTGGGAGGGGGAACAGCAAGGAGGAGGACAAGGAGGAGAATAAACAATCAGGATGAAATAAGATAAAGAAAAATAGGAAGAGAACGAGGAGGAGGCGGAGGAGATTGATGATGATGATGCTGCTGCTGATGATGATGAGGAGGAGGAGGAGGAGGAGGAGGAGGAGGAGGAGGGGAACAGGAGGCGTGAGGATCAGGAAGGTTGCGAGGAGGAGGAGGAGGGGCAGGAGCAGGAACAGGAGACAGGTGTTGGAGGGGAAAGAGATGGAGGAGGAGGTGGAGGAGAGGAGGTGAGGAGGTGGCGGAGGAAGGAGGAGGAGGAGGAGGAGAGGAGAAGCTGGCGCAGGAGAAGCAAGGAACAGGAGTTGGAGCTGGAAACGAGGTGGAGGAGGTGGTGGTGGAGGAGAGGAGGGGAGGAGGTGGGAGGAGGAGGAGAGAGGAGGAGGAGGAGGAGGAGGAGGGTGGAGGTGGAGGAGGAGGGGGAGGACGAGGAGGAGGAGGAGGAGGTGGAGGAGGAGGAGGAGGAGGAGGAGGAGGAGGAGGAGGAGGAGGAGGAGGGGTGGCCGTTGAAGCCGCGCGTCGGGGCCTGGCCAGCCGCGGGGTACTGGGGGCGCCAGCGGGGAAGCAGGCCGCGGGCTTTCCCTTTTTCGTCCGAGGGCATCTGCCCGCAGCGCGCGTGCCCGCGAGTCTCAGAGCGTGCGTGGCCCTCCAGGAGTCGCTCCGAGGGGCCCGCGCGCCGCCGCCTGCGCTGGTGGCTCGCCGACGGGGGGGGCAGCGGCTGGGCCGGGCCATGGGCGCGCCGCGGCAGACGGGCTTGCTCGTCTGGGCCCTGTCCCTGGCCGTCGGGGGCCTCCACTACTGGGAGGTGGTCTGCCACCACCACCTCCTGGACGGCCGCCCAAAGAGCCGACGA